TTTGAAAACGGTTTCCTCGTAATTACCCATTGGGTTTTCTCTATCATCCTAGTTTTGAGAAGCAGGCAGTTTTATGTCATCATGCCTTTTTGAAGTAAAATTTGTAAGCTGTTTGCCTTTTAACGATTTATTTTTCCTAATATTACGAAGTAGAAGGAGTGATTCGAGGAGGTAAACTCGACCTGTGTTTTGATCGAATAGGAACAACTTTTGCCTGTATCTCCGCTATCCAGTTAAACCATAAGTTCATCTCCGCAATCCAATTTACTTTTGAATATGACTTCTTTTTCATTGCAACAATTTTCTTTTCATTGGTTGTAGGAAAAATAAGAGAATATCGATAATGGTTGCTGAGGGCCTTCCGTGTTTTGAATACCCTTTGTGCAGAGATATGTTAGTTAACCATTTTGTCAGTTTAATTGAGTTGTTTGTTAAAACAACTTGTAGCGATTTGCTGGTAATTTCGTCAACTATTATCTGTTCATGCCCGTATTTGAAGATGAGGTCAATAGATTTCTGTTCGAAATCATCATTTGACAACATTAAATCCTAATTAGTACCAGGAAGGTTTGTGTCGCCGGTATTGAGGACGTTATCAATTTCAATTTGTACTCATAGTAGGCGCTTAGAGGGTCCCCCCTTTGGTACTATTTTACAACCTTTATTTTTTGCTGATCGAACCTATAAAAAAACACATGCATTAGGGGATAGTTAACAAAGACCAACAGGAGCAAAATAATTAACAAGAACCTAATGATTTAACTTCAATTCAAATTTATTTCAGTTTTGTGTTTCGATTTCTATGCTGGTCGATAAGTATTTCAGTTTTAAAACTTTTATGCTAGTCGAGCTTTATGCTATTCGATTAACCGCCATTTATAGCTACTAATTGCTGATCGGCCTCTTTTTTTATCTGATTCATGACCTGTTTCGTCCCATTTTTTTCCGACGCGAGGGGTTATCTTTTAGACCAAAACGGCATATGAAAAATTGTAAGAATAATCATTAAAATATTAATATTAATGGGTTTCACCAAGAAATGGAAGAATTTATAAGTCCCTCGAAAGTTTGAGTTTTCTAGTCTGTTTCGTTATAAATCCAATAAGGTCCAAGTTTATATGTTGTAGTAGACGTAACAAGATATCAAGTAGTTCCAACAAAAGCCTGTTAATTCTGTCTTGACAATTTCTCCAAAAATGTTCACATGGCTGCTAATTCGTTTATGAAGAAAAATAACTCGGTGCAAAAAAAATTTGTTTGCTGGATGGCAGTAGAACTTTTACAATCACAAACATTTCTTTTTGTTCAAAATTTGCTCTGGCAAGATTGAGGTTTTCGTTGATGCCAAGATATTCTCTCCATGGAACGTTGTACTTTCCTTGAACGATTTTACTGAATAGAAGAATATCATGCATCTCTCAGTAGAGAGATACAGGAAGTCTTCTAAGGCGCATGAGATGGTCTTTGTACTCGGTGCTTGGGATATCCATGTTGTAACACGTTTTTGAAGTAGCTCAGAAGAGCGAAGTGCCCGTTTACTTGGATACCACAACTGCATTCCAGATAGTAAGATTTGTATCAAAAGGCCTCGAAGTAAGTGTAACTTGGTATATTGGTTGGTAAGTAGAGATATGTTAGGGCTCTCCATGTGGAATGAGGCATACGACTTGGTACACCTCGTGTTTATATGTGTATTCCAATTTAGTTTATCTAAAAATTCTATGGTCTGTTCTAATCAAAAATGTTTGAAACAAAGCAGAATTCTTTGCTGCTGTTAAATTTGAAGAGCATAAAAACCCGCTCGTTTTAATTTATACGCTCATTGAATTGTCTTTGCAGCACTTCGATAACATATCCAGAGGGCACTGAAGACTCTGTCTTGCACTAATACAAGGGCTTAGATTATTCGCAAATCGTTTACGAAGAGCACTAGTACTTACAATTAAAGAAGGTAGATCAATTATGTAAAAGACGAACAAAAAAGATAATAGTTAAGATCCCTGTGGTACTTCGCTGGTTGCTTGTATAAACGTTGAAAGACTCCCATTGACACGCTGTTTCATGTTGGATAAATAGCTAGCCAAAAAGATTAGGAGGTTGCCTCTGATACCATATGAGTATAATTTGTTCAATAATTTCCTATGGCAGACTTTGTCAAACGCTTTTTCAAAATTTACGCAAATAGTTGCAAAAAAAATCTTGATTTTATTCTTTAGCATTGTACATTTCACTGAGGTGCGATAACATTTGGAGAATTAAAGAGTTGTTCTTCGTAAAACTATATTGCTTTGAAGAAAGGTAAGATTCAAAATTATCGTAGATGCAAATATACAAGAGCTGCTGCGAAACTTTCAATGTTGCATTCAGTAAAGAAATTGACGGTAATGTTCTTGGTTCGATTTATCACCCTTTACTGAATACTGGGACAATAATTGATTCTTTCCATTTAGTGAGAAATTATCCTTTATTGAAAAATGTTTTTACTAGAGCGTGTATCGGTGAAGTCGATGTTGGTGCCCAATTTATTAGAAGTATCATCGGTTCCAGATGCTTTATTGGTATCAAGTTGCTTTAATTCACTTTAACTTCTTTTGATGTAAAGGTTACAGAATTCAGTATGCGTGGATTGCTATCGTCAGCATGGTTACCAGTGTTTTCAAATTTTGGATTGTATACAATTCCAAATTATTGGTTAAGCGAAATTGCTTTTTGGGCAACTTCAGTTGCATTTTCTTTACTGTAGAACTTGGTATTGGGTAGGATAACATGACGTTTTAGGGGTTTGAAGTTTTTGTATAATTGGTCAAACCTCTTGGATTTGAAAACGGTTTCCTCGTAATTACCCATTGGGTTTTCTCTATCATCCTAGTTTTGAGAAGCAGGCAGTTTTATGTCATCATGCCTTTTTGAAGTAAAATTTGTAAGCTGTTTGCCTTTTAGCGATTTATTTTTCCTAATATTACGAAGTAGAAGGAGTGATTCGAGGAGGTAAACTCGACCTGTGTTTTGATCGAATAGGAACAACTTTTGCCTGTATCTCCGCTATCCAGTTAAACCATAAGTTCATCTCCGCAATCCAATTTACTTTTGAATATGACTTCTTTTTCATTGAAACAATTTTCTTTTCATTGGTTGTAGGAAAAATAAGAGAATATCGATAATGGTTGCTGAGGGCCTTCCGTGTTTTGAATACCCTTTGTGCAGAGATATGTTAGTTAACCATTTTGTCAGTTTAATTGAGTTGTTTGTTAAAACAACTTGTAGCGACTTGCTGGTAATTTCGTCAATTATTATCTGTTCATGCCCGTATTTGAAGATGAGGTCAATAGATTTCTGTTCGAAATCATCATTTGACAACATTAAATCCTAATTAGTACCAGGAAGGTTTGTGTCGCCGGTATTGAGAACGTTATCAATTTTATTTTGTTATTTTGTACTCATAGTAGGTGAACACCTAAAAATAGACCATGAAAGCGAGTATATTCCCGTCGATAACGACTATTGCAGGGCGTATTTTAAAGCGTATTGACATAAGGCGTATTGGCATACATGAGGCAAATATTGGCACAATTATTATAAGGCGTATTGGCATAGGCCAAATGGTCCTGGCGCCAAAAACAGATTGAACTAGGTTATACTCTTACGGTTGTTAGTGCTAGTACACATTGAGGAAACTTCTCGATTCAGTCCGCCAAACAAATGGTAACTTTTTCGCTTTCAGGTGCTTGTAAAGGTGTTCACCTATTTTATTTTGTACTTATAGTAGGTGAACACCTAAAAATAGACCATGAAAGCGAGTATATTCCCGTCGATAACGACTATTGCTGGGCGTATTTTAAAGCGTATTGACATAAGGCGTATTGGCATACATGAGGCATATATTGGCACAATTATTATAAGGCGTATTGGCATAGGCCAAATGGTCCTGGCGCCAAAAACAGATTGAACTAGGTTATACTTTGATTAAAAGTCAGTTGCATCGAGTCGCTTTGAAATTGCAGATAAATGCAAGTTAATTTTATTTTGTACTCATAGTAGGTGAACACCTAAAAATAGACCATGAAAGCGAGTATATTCCCGTCGATAACGACTATTGCTGGGCGTTTTTTTAAAGCGTATTGACATAAGGCATTGACATAAGGTATTGACATAAGGTATTGACATGAGGGATATATTGGCACAATTATTATAAGGCGTATTGGCATAAGCCAAATGGTCCTGGCGCCAAAAACAGATTGAACTAGGTTATAATCTTACAATTGTCAGTGCGAGTACACATTGAGGAAACTTCTCGATTCAGTCCGCCAAACAAATGGTGACTTTTTCGCTTTCAGGTGATCGAACTTCTGAGCAAAGGTCTGCCCAACTTTATCAGCAATTTTTTGCCCTTTGAATCGGTTAGCGTTGCATCGACTAGCATTTCCATCGATAATCTTTTTTTAAAAATTTCAGGCCGCATACGCAAATAATTTTTTACAAGCTCATTCGACAATATTTTGCTAACCGAGCGGTTGCCATTAGCTTATACAGTTTGTAAAGAAGCTGCTTTAGATTTTTATCATGATTGTAACACGAAAAGAACTAACGAACGAAATATTTTGTCATTGTCTTCCTTGATTGATAGCCAATTTTGACCATTTTGCAAAAATTAAAGGCTCAAATCAACTTTATTTGAAGCTTAATTTCATTTTTCGTTTTTGCTAATTTTTGTTGGGCTGAACATAATAAAAAATTTAAACAGTAGTTTGCAAAATTTTTGGACGCAGAACTCGGCTCGCTGGAGAATTTTTAATTTCCGCTTTTTCTCATTTGGCCCGGAAAAACTAATTCAACCTTCTCTATTTGCGTGCATTTTCAATGCAAAATGTGCCCAACTGAAAAAAATACTGATATACATTTTGATTAAAAGTCAGTTGCATCGAGTCGCTTTGAAATTGCAGATAAATGCAAGTTAAAAAAACGGTGAAAAGCCAGTTTACTTGAATTCACACTTTTTCTAGGTAGACGAGCTGATGCGTCAGGAGCTGAAGAACCTGAAAATGGCAGTGGATAAGGACAAGGGAAAGAAGGGCAAGAAAAAATCAGGGAAAAAGAAGGGTAAAAAGGGCAAAAAGGGGAAGAAATCGGGTAAGAAGAAGGGCAAAAAGGAGAAAGATTTGACCCCTGACCGGTCAATTGAGTCTCTTTATGAGGAATTAGTGGAGCAAGGTATCATAGTGAGACCCCCCAAGGTGCTAATTAAGGATTTCCTGGGGGAGTTCAACTACTCGGGCGCCGTTTTGAGACAGCGAAACGTGGAGCCTCAAGTATCTGCTCATGACGTCAGGAGGGCAATCACCGAGTATTGTATCCTTCCGATGGGATCACAAAGAGTGAGTGATCCTAACAAATCAATGCTTATTATGAGTAAACAAAACTGCTCGGATATCAGTTTGAGACCATGAGTGGTACTTTGGGGTTTGAAGTAAATTAGGATTGAAATAAATTTAGGATCAAAATTTTGGTAATTCAATTCAAATTGGATTACTGTCTGAGCTCGATTATTTTGGCTAATTATTTCAGCGCAAAATGAAAATTTGAATATTTCACGCGCTTGACTTATGCCAAAATAAATGGTCAAAAGGGTCCCAAACTAAAACACTCATAACCACCAGTAAAACATCTTTTCAAATTTGAGCTCAGAGGGCATCAATGTCTTTCAGATCCTTAAAAAAATCGGTAAAAAATGTTTTATCAATAAGTCGCATTTGATTTCAGTGAAAAAACCAACCCAAACAAATATAGTCTGTCTAGGGTGCGGATCTATGGTTTTCAGTCTTTCTCGAGAGGAGAGAATTTCAAAAAAAATTAAGTCGACCATTGAGTTAGGACTGGAGTGTAACTCATAGAGTAATTTCGGATAGGGTACACCGTCTGCTCGTCACGCTATCTTATTTTCGGCCGGATAGATTCGTGCAACTTCTTAGTCTAATACCGATCCTAATCTTACTCTTATACTATCTAGTCTCAGGTTGTTTAACTAGTCTCTGCTAGGCTCAATAGATCTAGGGTATACTGGTTTATTGCGGCTGCTGAAGTGCTCGGGAGAGTCCAACTAATTTCTAAGTTAAATTCAAATCTCTCTGGTGCTGAAATTACAAGTAACTTCAGCACTTACAAATAAGTGGGTTGTTAGTTAAATGGATCATGATTGGTTAATATTAAATACTTTACATTGGTAAAACATTTAATTTATCCAATCATAAAATATAGTTTAGATCAGGTTCCACCCATCCGGGTTTTACAGAGTTTTTTAGAACAGTTCTTTTGTAGTTCAAGGATGGATGATGGACGTTGGTATTTGGCGAACATCATTTTTCTTTTGTTTCCTTTTTGTTAAGGAAGTTCCAGGGATCTGGAATTGAGGACACAAGACGTTGTGTTCTTCTTGTGACAACGACTGAGTCTCTGCAACAGCATCAATTCTGGTTTCAGAATGGTTGGCTATGTCAGGTTTTTCTGTTCTTCGGAGAGAACTTCTTTTGTGTTTGATCTAGCTCGGGAATGGCGTGGAGATTGTGCGTGGAGGGGATGCCTGGTTACTCGGATCTGTACGTATACTTGAACATCGAGGTGGTCATTGGTCTAGTTCAATGAAGTCCTTTTCTGCGAGGTCAAGTCGTACTCTAAATCCTTTGAGTTGTGATTGTGAGCGGCATATCGATTATAGTTGGTCATTCTCTCTCGAGTGTAGTGAGGTCGTCTTGTCTTTTGATGTTCGTCCTTGGTGTTGTATTCTGATCTATATATTGCATCATGTGATTTTACATTTTATAAAACTTTTATTAATTTAATATTTTTTAATTATGATTTTAGTTAGTTGTTTTCACAAAAGCTTTTTGTTTTAGTTCGGTTATTTTGAAGAGTTACTCACCCTTGAGTAGCTCTTATTAAAAATAAAGGTGTGGTCACAAAGCGTGGATGTAGCACGGTGGGTTAGGCCGGCTATAGAGCATGCTCAGGACGTCCTTTCCTGGTGGGTTAGGCCAGGTGTGGGAGTATGATTTCATGCGGTTTTTATGAGGGGTCCTGTTATGTGACAACATTTTATGTTGGGTTTGTTGTGGTTTTACTTATGTTTTGTTGGTTATGTACTTTTTCCAAAAAGCAAATTGTTTGTGGTATGGGTTTGTCTTTTGACTTTTTTGTGTTTTATTATTTCTTTCTAAGACTTTGTAATAGTCTTCAAAAGAATAAATTATCCAGTTTTAAACTGGGTTAATCCGGTTTGGGTACCGTTGGTTTCCTTTTCTTAGTCATGCTGTTATTTTATGATTTGTGGTATTTAGTAAGCTGCGTTGGTTAGTTTTGTTTAGTATATGATTCCTTTCCAACCGGGTTAAAGGAAAGTTTGAAACTTGTTATTATTTGTTAGAGTTGTTGAGTGTGAAAACTTGAAACTGAAATTCATTATTTTAAACAATTCTTCGTGGGCGAGCTGTGCGAGTGTGGATAGAATTTCTGTGCGAATGAATGAAAATATCAAAAGGTTAGTACTGCAATTGCATTTTATTAATTTACTGCATAGAATTTGGAAATTTACTGCTAGTAATGGGGGAATTTTAAGATACAAATTTTCATCATATGTAGATTTACTGCTTTTAGGGGAAAATTTTATAAATTAATTTACTGCATTGGTATTATATTTATTTAATTGTTGGTGCAAAAGTTAAATAGGGTTTTAAATAGTTTTGAAGAAGTTTGCTATTTTTTATTTTTCTTTTGTGAATTTTTCAGATGATTGAAGATGAAGGCTAAAAATCTAAAGAAAACATGAATAAGGAATGGTGAGTTTTTCAATATTTTAATTAGTTAGTAATATTCATTTAGTTCATACTTACCTGTTAGTCGTCGGGGAAAAAACCGTGGGGGAAGATATCGTGAATTAGTTCTGAAGTTGTTAGTAGTTTAGCTAAGATGCGGATGATATTTTTAGTTTGAAGTAGTGGCCAAAGCAATTGAAGTGCCTTAATAGTGGTTAGTTCTTCAGTGCCTACTGCAAACTCATAAGGTGTGTTTTGGATTAAGTTATATAACTTGTGGTTAAATTTAGTGTTGTGGATGAATTCTAAAATGGGGATTTCTATAGGCTGTACAAACTCGTGCGGGATAAGGAAGGGTCGGGATTCTTCTGCGTTGAAGGTCTTGGTGATGGGGCAGAAAATATACATTTGGGTTATGGGGTCATAATTACGAAGAATACCATGAAGGTTAGTATTTTTAATACAATATGTGAAATTTAGGAAATACGGTGAAGTGTATTTTGAATTGATGAATTGAAAGCGATGGTGTGGTTGTCTAGAGGGTGTGTGGAGGTCAAAGTGATTTTGGATGAAACGATAGTAACTGTATGTATGTGTTTGTTTAGTTCGCAACATAATATCGTGTGAGCAGTGTAAATCTCTTTCGTGTGGTGCAAGGAAATGAAAGGTTAGTGAAAAGATTTGGAAGCGTTCTTTAAAACTTTCGTACGCTTGTGTGCTTGTTAGTGCTTCTGAAATAATGTGATCAAACTTTCGGTCGAAGATGTTTAGTGTAAATACATATGGTGTCTTGATGAAAAATTTCTCGGTGATTTGTGGGTTAGCGAAGCGATCGTCGTCTAAGAATTGATCTTGGTTAGCTCTGATGATGTTGTGATCATAGTATTCTAGTGTGTATTCGTTAGCTCTAGGTGCAGTGTGTATTTTTAGTGATTTTTTATATCCAACGTAAGTAAATTGTCTAGCGGTGAGTGGTGTAGTTAGTCGATATAGCATGTCTTTGTTTCGGTCTATATCAATGGATGTGTTAGTTAAAGGTAAGCAAAGAGGGTTAGTGAAATGATAGTATGAGGTCCAAGAGAGAGTGGGCATTAAAACGTATTCGTCTACAAAGTTGCGTGTTTCGTTAGCGTCATGAGGGGTGTTTAAGGTGTATTGTGGAAATGAGGGTAAAGTGATGGCTAAAAATTCTCTAGTGTTAGTATGTTGGGGGTGGTTGATGTATTCTCGGGCTGTTCCTGGTTTTGCTGGGAAAGGATGGTTGGGGAACTTTCTTTTAAAAGTGCGATAAGCTCTATTAGTGTTGAGTGAGGATTCAGTTGATGTGGATGATGGTGCTAATGATTCGGTATAATTTGAAGAGGGTGTAGGGGGATTGGATGAATTTGTAGTGGAGGAGATTTGGTTTATGGTCGGGGTGTTAAGGTGGTAGGGTTGTTGTTGGAGGGTAATAAAATTGTCTAGCTCTGGGGAGATTCGGGGGGTGTCTGGAGATGATTGGTCAGAATGGTATGAGGAGTAGGTTGGGGTAACTTGGGAAGCATAAGAGGGTGTAGGAGTGATTGGGTCAGGGTTATTTGATAATATGGGTTGAAAAGGAGGTTGAGAAAAATGAGAAGGGTTATGAAAATTATTGGATGGAGATGGTTCTGAGTCGGCAAATTCGTCGGGGGTTTCAATATTCGGGTTATTTAGCTGTGAAATGGAGTATAAAACTGAAATTTGTGAGTTAGTGTCGGAATTCATGCCTGATGTTACATTGCTAGATGGAAAATCGGGTGGCGGAAAAGCAAAAAGTGGTATTTTTGGGATTGAAGAGGTAAGGTTGGTTGGATGGGAATTTGATCGATGGAGTGATCCAAGTTGGCGGCTCATCGTGGGCTAAAAAAATTATTATTTTGAGATTGAAAAGCGGTGGTATGGGGCTGTTCAATAATTTGTTCATAAGTATTATCATCTTGTGATGGATGTGTCATTATATGTTGGACGGGACTTTGTGATGTGGTGAGTCGAAAATTTGGATTATGTGTGATTGCTAAATTTCTAAAATTTCGCGGGGCTAGGGATAGTGGATGGTTATTTGGTAGGGGTGGTAATTGTGGTGCCGTTGGCTGTGTGTCGACATTGTTATGTTCTTCGTCGTATGTATTTTGTCGTGTTGTTATTTTTGTGTTATATTCTTTTATTTGTGCGTCTAAAAGAATTTTGTTTATAGATGTGGAAAAAATTCCAAAAAATCCTGCAAAGAGTATGCGTGCTACGCTTGCTTGTCTGTTTACTTGTGTGTGTATAGCACATGTATTGTAGATTCCTTTTAAGAGTGAGAAAAGAAATCCAATAAAGTTAAACATTGCGTATAAAATAGTCAATTTTTCTAAGATGTAGTAGGGCCATCCTAGAAAATCTAGGATCTCATTTTTGAGTGTAACAAAGCTAAAAATGTTAATTGGTGATATATCTTGGGGACGGTATTTTTCGCCGTTTAGATATATATAATCTTTTATGTCTTTAAAATATCCGCTATAGTCTTGCGTGTAGATATCGGCAAATCCTGCGGTTTCTGCAAGTTT